CTACATAATGGCTTCTTCAAACAATGATATATTTATAAGAGGATAACATTATTACTATTATTACTGTTGTGCAAAGAACAGGTTCGTTTAGCTTTGAGATGGGTTTTTTCTAATTAAATATCAACATTTCTTTCATGACACCATTTGCATAAGTTGTAACTAATCATTCCACATTTAATGTCGTTTCATGTAGTTTGTTACGTCATTCTTAGATATGACACACTTTTATGTACATACAACTAAAAATTGGTTAAATATATATATTTATATTTGATAATAAATATGAAATGAAGGTAATTTTCAATAACTCTTATACATGTCCTTATGATAGTGAATATACGTCTTCCATGCATGTCTATATTCTGTTTCATTTGTTTTACTGTGTCCATGGCGGAGAAAAGCTGCATCTTTAGGTATCCAGAACGTAAATGTGCACTCTCTTTGATTTGAAAAAAGTAATGCAGTTAAACCATGTGGAACTGCATCTGAACATCAAAAAAAAAATACATCTTTGACATATCTTGATTAAAAATTAGTCAAATAGATGTATAAGTGTATACATTACAAGTAAAAGTAGACATAAAGCATATCTGATTTAACTTTAAATCGAGACTCCTGGAAAACATGTTCAATAAATTTTCTGTACAAACTAAAACTATCCGCTAAGTTGAAGTAATACCGCCGCACCCCGGATTGACATTTGATTCAACTAGCAAATGATTGAAATACTAGGAATCAAAGATGTTTGTTATATAAATGTATACTTTTTTCTTGTGTTTTATTTGATATTGTATCAGATGCCTGTATGCCTGTATAATGAACCATGATAGTTGCGATGACAAGGTAGGAGCTGGACAGGGCACACATTTCTAGGTTCAATGGGGGCATTACTCTAGAAAAACTCAAATGACTTGAGTATGATCCTTCCGACAGTCACATCGGCATATCTGGATCTAACAATGCACCAACGTCCATGTAGATATGATAAAACCATGAAGGAGGAATTGCGACGATAAGGTAGGTGCTGAATAGTTTTCTTAACTCAAAGAGGCACTTCAGCATCGTACCCACATGCAATCGGCATATTAAAATCTCACAGTATACCAAGACTTCAGTAGATATGATAAAACATGTAGAAGGAGTTGCGATGACAACTTCGGTGTTGGCAGGCTACAATTTCTAAATTGAAAGGGTAGAACTCTAAAGCCACTCAATGGACGAGAACATCCCACGTCCATACACATCGGCATATTTATGGTCTAACTATGTGTTGAATTTCATATATACACGATAAAACATGTTGGATGTGTTGCCATGACAAGGTCAGTTCTGAAAATGGTCAACATTTCTACTTTTGTTGTTCTATACACTATTGTATCAGTCTCGTCGTTGGAATTTTGGTTTGATAATCTTTTCGAAGGTACACTGGCTAAATGTGTTTTTGTTCAGATAAATGTTATCGCAAAACATAACATGAGAATAAACAGAATATTATATATCAAGCAAAATTATTAAGACTTGAAATGTTGCTATCAATGGTATACGAATATTATACTCGCATTTACTTATGGAATAAAACGAAGTAATTGTGTTTTGAAATACAATTGTTTACCATTCCGATGTTAATAAAAAACTTTAAAAAAAACGACATTTCTAAATGCAATCGAATGGTAATTACTAATCATTTTGTAAGACATTTATTATCGAAATTGGTATGATGAATACGTAAGTAGGAAAACTACCCCTCCCCAAAGTTTTCACAAAAACTGTCAACAGACCCGCCCACTTTACTGAGGTGACTCTGTACCCGACAAACAGATGACGATTGATTTATTGTTACTACACAAGGCCACAGCCTTCGGCTTTGATTTCTCTCAACTACACTTTATTAGTACGTTCCGTCTTATAAACGAAGACAAAGTTTCCTGAAGCAGTTCATACATGTAGACCATAGGGAAATATTTATAAACAAGTTTCATTCCGTAAAGTTAAAATGGATCATGCAAAAGTTGTGAGAAATGGTGCATTCATTATTTTTTTTCCAGTAATAATGATGTTTACAAACAAGTCACAAGTGTTACCAAACATAGATAATTTAACAAATCCAGAAAAAAGGGGTTCTAGCTACTACACATAGTATATTAAACACATGACCACTCACAAAAAGTTAATTGGTGTACGGTAACCCCATACTGTCATGATGAGTGTCATCCCTTTAAGAATGATAATTGGCGCCCTTAATGTAATCAAAGATAATATTTTCCAAAATATCGGTGAAATTTATGAAGAAATGATAATATTATCTTTGTTCGAAAAGTCTTTTTCTGCTTAAAAGTATGTTCAGTTGTGATGCAGTTAAGCTCTAAAGTTAAGAAAAATATGTAGCATCTGTCTCATTGACATACGCGCCCTACATCAACTCTTATTTCTTTTAGACAAATATACAAGTTAGTGGCCTTTTAAGGTTAGTTATTGTACTATCACATTATTTACAACCAAATCATATGACGGTTGATTTCAAAGACTTATTAATTAACTGTATTGTTGCACTTGAACATCCACATGTTCGCGACAATCGGGGAGCGCAACCCGCCTAATTTCTCTTTTCAAACTATTTTTATTGTTCTTCGGGTTGCTATCTCATTGATGTGCACGACTTTTTATCCTTTAATTCAAATTTAATCAAAATATTGGTTGATGAGTCACAACTATGAAATTACAAAATGGCAAAGAGTATTCTAATATGCCATTATCTGGTGACGATAAATACTTCCTAAAATTTTAAGAATAATTTCTGGTAAATTAAAGAAAAATTGCTAAAATCCGCCTGTAATATACTCTATTATAGTTTTCGTGTCTCTCGAAATGGTTAATGAGACGACGAAAGCTATCGTTGAGTGTGTATAATCAAGAAAGCAACTTAATGTATACACGAGATAAAAATACATTTCACTTCAATAAAAAATGAGATTACAATAGACGGAAACGTAATTTGCACAGACGAAGCCGTCTGTCGAACCCTTCATCAAAATTAATTAATTGCAAAGGCAATTCCAAAGCGAATAATGAAGCCCACTATTTTTCTGGTATCTATTAGGCAACTAGAAAGCTTCTAATACAGAGTGCTTTTTGTCTGCAATTTGCTTTTTGTCCGAAAATATTAACGTTTGACCGATTGTTTTTTGTCCTCAAAGTTTGCCTTTTTTCCGTTGTTTTTTGTCCGAAAATTTAGCTTTTTGTCCACCACTTTTGCTTTTTGTCCGAAAATTTTGTTTTTTGTTTGAAACTTTACCTTTTTGGGGGTCGCCCCGATATTCCGACATTCGCATCCTATTGTTCGGACGCCTCATAAGCCCGACACCCCATTTGTCCGACAACCCAGTAGTCCGACATTGGCAAATCAAATTTATTTCATAGAATCGGTGTTTATGTGGTTGCTGTACTTGAACTTCTCATTCTTTCATCACGAGGGTTGATTTTGGTATAGAAATATAGTCATCCCTGGACTTTATGCGTCCGATAGTAAAACCCTTGTTAAAATGTGGCGTCCGCTTGGCTGTTCGGGATGTATAAATTCGCAGCCACGTCCAGTTAGAATAGGGACATTAAATCTGATGATTCGTTTAAGGCAAGTACCACGCTCGATGGACGTTAAAGAACCCTTGCAACAACATTTTGAGGGATCCTTTAAGTGGCTTGCTGCAAGACAAAATTTCTGAAACTGTAGTAGAACTTGCCACTGGAAGAAAAGCAAGGAACTTTCAATCAATCAATCAATAAATATTTCGAGTATATTAAAGAAATGGATAATACCATGTATATACCGCCCATCAGGTATCTCAGAAATATCACGAACCTGTCCCTATGAGGAAATTGAGAACCTTGTAATATTTTGGCTTACGAATACGAAGTATGGTTGATTGGATACAAATACTACTGTACATTAAAAAGAATTCGAAGAAGTGTCATCTCGTCGTAAAGGAGAAAGAGAATGTGCACGCAATATAGTCAAGATACGGTTCGCTGAGGCGATTGTAAAATGGAACAATCTGTACCAGTCAATGAGTTTTTGCCCCAAAACTGAGGTATTAGTGAATTGGATTAGATAGTCAGGGAAACCCTAAACAGACACTATTAGACGGTGTGTGACATTCACGATGTTTGATGTATAGCCTTAAACTTCGACATCGATGTAAAATTATTGATGTTTTAGCAAGCAAGTTTTATCGGCCAGAAATATCATTGTATTTTAATCTGAATCACATTCCTTTGTGTTTGCTTTTGTAAATCAATTCCAAAAGAGTTAACTTTTGTCTCATATAATTTGATTTTTTTATATTTTTTGTCATGTGTGCGACAAAAGTTGTAGCATGCGATACACAGGAATGCTAAACCGGCAGCGGTGGTGTAAACTATTGGTATGAAGCTTTATATTTCAGAAAATAGAAGGCCTGGATACTTCATACCTTATATACAGATGTCTTATAAATTGATAAAATACATCTGAACAGTTTGAATTAACCTTTCCCTTCCAGAAAGTGAATGTAATTAAGGATGTTCGCTCCTCTGTTTCAAAATAACAAGCTTTTTAAAAGACTGTTATAAATGGATAATATATAAAAAGCAGGAAAAAAATGAAAAGTTCGTGTCTTTGTTTTTGAGATATAATTGATAGAAAATTTGGCGGGAAATGATTCTCTGTAGATTTTTTTATACATTTATTAACATTGACACCTTTATTCCTTCAAAAAACTATGAAAAATAACAAGCTTTAGGATGTTATAAGATTTTCCAAAATGTTTTATTTAAGCTATATGTAATAAAATTATTGAAAGAAAAGTAGGAGTTAGCGGGCAAATTTTGTATTGGCATTACATGGATAAATATTATTTACAGGATTCCGAATATCTCACAAAAAGTAAAAAACAAGAGAAGCGAACATCCTTAACTGTAACGTACATCTTGTGTTTGTAGCTGTGAATAATTCGATAAAACTGAAACAACGTAATATATTTATTAGATAGCTAATTATAAAAGTGTACATAACAAATGTAAATTAAAAATAAATATAGCATGGTTAAGTAGTATTTCTATAATAGACATTTCAAATCTGCTACCAACTATTTTTAATCAGTTAATTCACTGTTGGCGTAGAAGAAATACATGTTGATTTCTAAATCTTATACGAATATAAAACAGCTATGTTATTTTAAGAAAGAAGAGTAATTTTAAATTGTTGGATTTGTTAAACAAAATGAGGTCAGCTAACCTGTATCAAAAAATCCCATGGATTGATTTTCTAAACTAGTGATAAGCGACAGACGTCATACAGGATAATATAATATCATAATAAGAAAATAATAAGGAACCCTATGTTTAACTGTCGTCGAGTTTTAAACTGATCATATTTAACTGTTGTTGAGGTTTCATAAACTTGTATCTGTTAAAATAACATATCCAAGTTTTTGTTAAGGATTTTATTTATTTAACAACTCATAAATTGTACCATCGTAAATATTTCATTGATTTATTTCAATTTTTATGTACGGCAGATCAGTTCTAAAACATTCATTAAACAGTAAAATGTTTTTTCTGTATCATCAGCACTTCGATAATTAACGTCCCTTAAGTGTTGCTCGAGGCCAGGCTGTTTGAAATTTCAAAACCTAATACAAAAGTTGGAGCAAATATAACCGAAAAATATCAAAAATATTACCAAACACGGACTAGGAATCCGAGCAATTTATAAGTTTATTGTCTGTAAATTTGAATGCGTCCATGTACTGATCCTTATATGATGTTTAGTGTTAATATAGGGACATTTAGATGAAATGTCAACATGTTTTTTATTTTTGTTTTTCAACTTACGATTATCAGTAAAAAAAATGTACGTTTTAAAATCTATTAAGGCGGCAGCAGTTATCCGATGTTCAAATCTCCGCGGCAAATCTACCACGGAATGACAAACCAAGATAGCAAGTAAGAATTTATAGAATCGTATGAACTCCGAAAGAGCGAGATCGGATGTGTCGACAGGGTAATATAATAGAAACTGTACTGCTTATGACCTCCGTAGAAACAAAGTGTTAGTAAAATATGGAAATTTGCACAGATCAAATCATAGTGCTGTTGATTAAGCAACTGACCCCGTAATTGAATTCATAGTCATGAAATATTTCAAGTGTACTTCAAACTGCAACTTACATATTTTTTTTAAAGTTCATACATGTGAATTGTCTTTGTTTGGAGCCACATTTGAAAGAAATTGTAGAGGCTTTTACATGGTGAAAACTGTTAGTGTCCAATAGAAATTTTGGGATGATTTACTCATTTTTATTGAATGAATAAAATTTCTCCAACTAAGAACAAAATACCAGCTGTAAATGTAAATGTTCCCAGTTATGGACTCACGTGTTAGATGGTTACACTTGATTTTTTTATACTCAAGGTCTCCATTACACCAGAAAACGACCATAACATTAAAGGTCAGCATGCCATACAAGTATAAAAACTTGACACTTTTATATCATTAGTCACTTAAAGGTCTGTTTGTGCAAAGACACAGTGCATAACTATAAGGAAAAGTCATTAATACATACAATTATGTTAAATGTCAATCACGGCGTAAATAACACCGTCTTTGACATTAAACATATTCATAGAAGTATTATGGATAATTAATTGAAAATATTATTTTATTTGAAAAATGTATCATAAACTACACTTTGATTGGCACTTGAAAATAAAAAAATTAGCACTACAATATAAAGCTTGTCAAAATATTGTAGCTTAAAACATTGAGTTGTTGAGTTTATAATTCTATAAAAGTATGATAAGCAAAATTTTATGATTTATATGACTATAATTAGGACCTTTTTTCATGAATATTGATTAAATTAATAAAATTTTACGTGGGGATGTCAACTATAGAACAAAATTGTAATTTAAGATTCTTCGGGGACAAAACCTAAAATTTTTTAGCGACGTCTGTGCATATACATCTCCATTTATATAATTTTGGCTGTTGCTTGCACGAATTCATGACACTTTTAACCATCTGCTGTCTTTGATAATCCAATCTAAATTGCCTTTTGTCGTCGTCGTAAGCACGAAAGCCCATGCATTCATAAAACACTGATAAGTTGATGTGACTAACGTCTATCTCATGCCCGATGGTTTTCCTTTTGCCTGCTGCACATTGCAATCAGTATATATAATGTATACTTTCAATCTTGAAGAATAAACAATGCATGATATTTGTTACCAGTGTCTTACTCTGGTGATAAACAACGTATATGTAATGGATTGTCGGACGCTTCATAGTGTCCTAGTCTTGCAGATTTTATGCACTGTTCTTGTTTCCATAATGGAAGACGATAAAAATCTGGACGACCCATTTTCATCACTTCTTTAAAATGCCTCTCAGTTAAATGAAACTATAAAAGAAATTACATTTTTCAGTTTTAACTTTTTCCGCTTGGATGTCCGGACACACTTTTTAGATATAAATTCTGATTTAGTTTGCCGAAACTTTAACTTAAGAATGCTTCAGGATTTCAAGAACAATTTTCTGCTGATTTACGTCGTGTGATAAACGAGTAACATAAACATGACTGGTATATTTATCTTTTGGTCGTTAATTGTCGATATATATATATTTATTGATCATTTTCAGTTAAATATAATTCTAATATAATTTTACAAGAATAGCCAGATGCGCATTTCGACAATCAATGTCTCTTCAGTGATGCTCGAGGCCAAACTATTTTGAAAGTCCAAATCCTAATGCAAACGCTGAGAGCTGATAAAACATTCAAAACAATTTGAATTTTTAATTTTTTGGGCTATTCTTGTCTATGAATGTGTACTTAATGTGTTTACTAGTACTGATAGGTATCAAATAAAAATAAAAATTTCATACATAAATCAAGGCAAGCTTATTTTTAAAAAAATTTACACATCAAATGAAATAATATATGCTTGTATACAATATGTTATATAGAAACTCCCGAAAGATATGTTACATAATGATTCAAATCGGCTAATGCAAATTGAATTCCAAATGTATTCTGAACCAAACTAATAGATAAAGACCACGACATTTTACCTCTTTATGACTCCTATCCACTTCTTCCGCCGGTTCTTTCTTTATCAGTTCTCTGTATGCGTACTTGGAATATTTCATATAGCTCCTGTCAACCATCTAATAAACACATGTACGGTAATTAATAAAATCATATCTTAATTGGAAACATGACATGCTTAGTAGTTACACCATACTATTTTCCCATACATATGATTTAATGATGAGTTAAGTATACAGATAAACTCATCATAGATACCAAGATTAAAATTTTGTACGCCAGACGCGCGTTTTGCCTACAAAAGACTCATCAGTGACGCTCGAATAAAAAAAAATTGATTCCAGATACACAATATTTGATAGTGTAAACATATTTGTTTATTGTTTCTAAAACTGTTATCGCAAGATATCTCCATTTTCTACCTTTAACATAAGGTATCGACTCATGTGACCATCTTGGAAAAACTTAAGTTAACATATACAATTAAATTCAATTTCTTAATTATCTTAAAAGAAGCTTTTTTAGAGTATTTCCAATAAGTTCTTAGCTTCAGAACTGGTATTTGTCAGTTTTGCACCGATTTAGATAAAAACAAATCCCCACCCATGCATACTATTAACGGAATTTCCACTCATATATTTCTCCATGGGGTTCTGCGTTGAAGTTGGGTCTGCTCTGACGGCCATCATGGTATTTAGATATCACAAATAGGAAAGCACTTTACCAAATCTTACATATAACTATTTAATCCGTTCATTGGTATCTGACATAAGGAAATGTAAAGTTTCAGACTGTTGGGACGAATTTTATCGCTAGTTATATTTTTAATCTATGATTGCAAATAAAAACTAATACTCGGTTGAGAATCACTTAAAATATACATGCAAGTTTTATAACCTTTCGCTACGTATTGTTGTAACAGCTGTCGACCTATAAAAGCCTACGACTAACTAGTACAACAAAGAGGCGATGACATGATCCTTGAAATAAACAAAATCCCCGTGACGAAATAAGACCACATAGAGATGACCAAAGCTTACATGACCCTTGAAATAAACAAAATGCACAAATGTACTATGTTCCGCGTCTCACCTCTTGATCAATATCAATGATAGCGTTCTCCTGCCGTATTCTCTTTCGTGTTAAAGTATAGACGTCATGACCCTGTAATAATAAATCATGAGAATTCGACTTTATACTACATCTCAACGTTATTAAACTCGGTCATGATATTAAAATGCCCTTTTTTAGAATAAAAAGTTTTCTTTCTTTTAATTTCCTTTACTGAATGACTACATAATTACTGTAAAAACGGTAACCTAGTTTTTTCTTCAGTGCCCGGAAATTAAAATAAGAGCATCATATTGTTCTTTTGAAATAATACCATATCAGTAAGCACGTATATATTTATTCTTCTATTTCAATACAAGCTTTTAAACACAAGTATGTCCGTAAAAACGCAAATTGTGTGCCAATCAGTTACGTAAATAACAAGTTAGAAAAATGTAAATGCCGTCAAACTCAAAGCCCAATCTAATCTATTTGAACCATTATTTGTCAGAAAGACAAAGTTAATTCAATCCTAAAAGTGGTCTTAGTCATAAAAAGTTGGTCGTCATCGACATCACGACTTGGTCAATTGATAGTTATTAATTAAATGATTTGTCACACTTGATGCCATAATATCTGCCTAATTCTTTGATGACATTTGCTGATTTCGACTCATTACCGCTTATATCCTTTCATGCCAGTAGAATATGGTATTTATTTCTGAGCACCTAATTAAAAAAGATTTTATTAGACTGTATTTTCCATATCTTTAATTTTTGTGTCCGTTGTTTGTATAAATCTGCTTTTCTTTCTCCAAATACACCCATCTTCCTTTTTTGACAATGTCATTCATTTATTGTTTTCTAGATTCCATTTTATATTCTATACTAAATTCACATTGTACACGTAGCTATGTTCTATTTGTAAATTAGGAAAATAGATACCAAAAGTAACAAATTTGCCATGACTTAAAATCTGCCACGAGATAAACCAGAGTTTTTGTTGGGGTAGGTGTTGCTCAGTAGTTTTCAAAATAATGTCTTTCGTCTATTGCTATTGCATTGGCTTATCTTACAACATATCTTACAACTACCAGGATAATGTAACCAAATAGCTTACTATAACTTACCCCATAAGAAGTATTGCACCAATCCCTGAAATGTTTTATAAATGTTTCTGGTTCATGATTCTGTGATATAATCCATAAACTGATATCAGCAATACAACGTCCTGCAGTATCCTCTTCTATGTATTTCTGTAATCAATAGAAAGATTATATTTTTCGTTTACACTATGCATCACAAATTTATGGTGTTCAAAATATTTGCGGGTTATTTGTTATTATATATTTCGTAAAGTACCTTTTTTTGAAAAAGTAAAATAAAAAAAATACCGAACTCTAAGGAAAATTCAAAACGGAAAGTCCCTTATCATAGGGCGAAATCAAAAGCTCAAACATATCAAACGAATGGAAAATAACTGTCATATTCCTGACTTGGTACAGGCATTTTCTTATGTAGAAAATGGTGGATTAAACCTGGTTTTAAAATTCCATAGGAAAAGCTGTTTACAGTATTTAAAAACACATAAATACGACGGCTGATTGAACAAAAAGTTTACGGACAACGCTTGTCAAATCAATATGGATAAAAATTAAAATTTAAATTTAAAGTCTTTGATATATTATTATTAGTGATTGTTCATGTCAAATATAAGTACTTCAATTCAAATAATTCATAAGTTTTCAATAGCTAGTTCAAAGGGTTGCAAAGATGATCCATCACTTTGTAACGTTATGAAATACGTTATATTTTTCTTAATGATGTTATCTTTTTATAATATTTCATTTGTTTTTGAACATTGTTTCGGTAAATGAATCCCCTGAATATAACTTTGAACATCGGTAAACAACTGTTGCCTTAATTTTATAATCCTTCTTAACAATAAAACGACAAACGTTGCGCTCTTCAGATCGTCAAAATTTTGTCTTTCACGATTTTATTAAAATTTAAGAATATGCATATACAAAATGTAGTTTTTTACCGGTACTTTCAATTTATAAATTCGATTATTTAATTTATGAAATGCTTCATGCTTTATGTTTTATGTATTTTGATAAAAAAGCGGCATTACTGAACTTTGTGACCGTATGTATAGAAATAAAAAGCAAGTTTCTACAGCATTATAGCATATTGACCAATATGTTTTTTTTTCAACAAAAAAACAATAATTGTCCGCATTGAGGTTTTGTCTTCGAACGTCTGTATGCGCTGTTCAAGACTCACAAATATTTTATGTTATAAGGACACCATGTACAACTATTTATGAATGAAATTGTTCATTGTTTTGTCCTTATACCATTAAGTATATTACTTACATAATTTGTTTATCTCTAAATAATAGAATTTTTATTTGTTCGTTAGAATTATTTTCCTTGATGGTTTATACTTCGAGAGACCATATTTCCGATACTACTTTCGTAACCTACGTAAACAATTTGTCGATTTTACTGATATATTCATGCGCAATGCGCAATACGTATGGATGCAATCCCGTAGTTCCAAGAAGAATGAAATGTTTGGATGAAGAATTTAAAAGATACAGAAACATTTTTTTCTGCAAGTAATTGGTGTGTAAACTGGACTCACAAATTTAAAATAAGAGTCTTTATATATTGACTGTTATTCAGTTTGTGAGTTAATCGGCTCAATACACACACCAATTACACCAAGAAAAATATGATTAAATTATACGTACTTGTCAAAAAAGGAATCACTTAAATAGTTCAATTTATTAGTAGTTATATTCATTTCTGTCTTTGGTCGTGAATATATTTCAGTTTATTCTTTAAAGGAAAAAAGTGCTTATTCTAGTTTTCATTTTCACTGGTTGACAATTTTTTCATACTTATATCGAAGATCTAAAAGAAATAAACAAATTGACTCCCCTTTTACATGTCAGTTAATGCTAGTTAGATTGGCAAATGACATTAAGTGTTTCAAATTACCTGAGGTAGATGCAAAAGTTGTTGTCTAACATCTTCACCTATATTCTGTCCAATCCAAATAAATATCTGAAAAATGAAGGGAGAAGAAAATCAAATCAATATGGTATTAAATACAGAATCTTTTAATTAAAATATCTTTGTACTATAGTTTGCCATTTTGTTTTTTGTTTGTTTAATGGTGATGTCTATCCTTGTACGATTTACGATTTTTTATTTTTCCTCTTGGTAACTAAAAAACGACTATGAATATATTATTATTTACAGAATCTTTTACTTTAAAATATAAATATAACATTTATTCCCTAAAAAGACTGTCAGAAGGCCATGCATGTGGTATATTTGAATAAATCTTTTTAAATAAACCGATAATAAGGAGCTGCCATATGTGTCATCACTATTAAAATTTCATTCACGTTTGGCATCAAAATATACGCAACTCGCATATTCATCAATCGAATCAAAAATCATTTGCAGAGTTTTAATGGAGACAATAAAATAAGATGATTATAGGTTAAGGTTTAACTTCAAAAGAAATATATGGCGAAGGAAATTCAGTCGGGATTCCGTAGCCGAGTCGGTATCACAGTCATGAGTCAGCTGATCGAGTCCTAACTGTGAAAGAATGTTGCGATTGTGAAAAATGTCAGAAGATACAGTCTACCAAGAAAGAATTTTGTTGCATACATACAAATTCGTCCACCAAACTCACATGGCCGCCAATGTAATACACAAATTAAAAAAAAAACGAAAATCTTCTTCTTACTACATGTATGTAATGTTAACATGAAAATCGGAATGGTAGCTGTGATGTAGAAAAAAACAACTTTTTGAGCTCTTCAATGTAAAAAGGGGGTAAATCAAAAATTGAAATATGTACTTGTGTGTAAAATAATACAATGCTATACATGAATAAAGTAGGAATGTGTGCTTGTAAATATGCAAGAGTCAATGTACTCAAATTCATCAAATTTTTCCATTTATAAAGGGACGTAACTCGAGAACGGTGAAAGTGACGTCATCCAAATTCAGACTTTATCTGTGGTTGTTGGTTATAAGCATCGTGTATAAGTTTCATAACATGAGGTTAAGGCGAACTAAAATTAGAGAACGGAAACCAATTTAGGGACATATGGACGTACAGACGGACAAGGGTACACCTTAATGTCCCTTCGACTACCGGCGGGGGCATAATAAAAAACTGATACTATTTTATACAAACCATTGTTTGTAATTAACACACATTTCATTATGGGTTTCTCTATCCTTTAAACACGTGCGTTCTAAGAAAAAAACGGCACACTTCAATCTACTATTGTTCAAACGAAGTAAAGATCACCCTGTGCACGTGGCTATAACATTTCTCATTATACTATTTACAGATGTTAATACTGCTGCGAAGAGAGACACATTTTACAGATATCGTTATTTTGTATTTGTTTTTTTAGATATTCTATTAACTTTTGATAGTCGAAAACATCTCCGATCTTATAACTGACGAATTTGTGGGTCATCCTTTATATAATCGATATCGTCAGTGAAAAAAATAGTGAAACTATATTACAACGGTTTTCGCAAAAGTTTCAACTTTCGGATTATCATCATGATGTTATCCGATGTCATGTTTCACAAATTTTGTTCTGGTATTCTCTATTTTGTGCAGATTGTAATGAGGATTATTTTTAAGTCTATTTGGTCATGAAACTGTTTTGAATATATTAAACGGCACCTAAAAGTTATTTACCTGGTCAAAGGAATCAAGAAAGTAAATGTCTTCTGACGTTAGATCCTAAAAGTAGAATATCTTTCGTTATACATAAAATCATCATAGAATACTACAACTGTATTTTAGTACACAAAGGAAAATATTTCTAAATACTAAAGAAGTTTCAGGAGAAATTGTGCGAACGATTTTTATCTCTTAATTAATTGAAGGAAGACAAAACAAAATGAAGTTAATGAAAATAGAGCCAGGGTTAGAACCAAAAACCTTCCATTGTTAAGTCATCGTAAAGTCATGCTTTTCTGATCTTCAAAACTATATTTCAATAGCCCCAGATTAGAGATGCCGTCAAGGAAGAGGAACTGCCTACAACTTCTGGAACAACTGAGTTTGTAAACGATTTGAGTGAGGTAAATAATACTCCGGAGTAGATAATGCTCCATCTTTACTTTTTGTGTATTTTCTTGTGCACTATAGTTTGCCATTTCGTTTTTTTCTTCTGTTATGGTGATGTCTATCCTTATACTACGATATACGACTGTTGATTCCCTATTGAAATCTAAAAACGAATATGAATATGTTATTATTTACAGAATCTTTACCTATCAAAATAGTTATAAAACCTTGATCCCCGTTAAAAGACTGCCAGAAAGACAAGCATGTGGTATATTTGAATAAATATTTTTAAATTTGCTGCCGTAAAGGCAGCTGTCATATGTCAAATTTGTGTCGTCACTGTTACCATTTAATTTCCATTCGGCGAATATATGGTTCTCACTGTAATTTGACATTTCGTTTTTGTTCTTGTGTAATGGTGATGTCTAACATTCTACGATATACCATTTTCGATTCCCTCTTAGCATGTAAAAGACGAATACGAATACGCACCTCTTTTTGAAAATTAACAATATCTTCAAATGAAATTGAATTTGTATGATGACATAAAACAAGATTCGGTGGTCGCCGTTCTAGTATCTAAAAAGAAGATGAATATTTCATTTCAGTATAAAGGGTATTTTGTTAGAATGCAGTATTTCCGAATTAGGCAAACAATCTGGAATAACAATTTAAATTATATGCTAGTCAGATATCAGAAAAAGCCATTGTCATTTACAATTCAATGAATAGCAGAATATCAAAATTCATTAGATGTACTCAAAGTATATAAAAATATTTTATATTTTGTAATCTAAATGACATATATGAAATATTACTAAATATATTATTCAAATAATAGCTTCTGTTTTAATTGCTTGCACTGAATTGTAGTGAGACAGCTCAAACATGTAAATAAAAATGATAACCTACGTCAGTTAATTAAACACATGGCATATAACAAATAATAATTACATGTAAAAATAGACATTTGTAGTTTCTAATATTTCACAGAATTGTCATTTTTGTTACAAAAAAGGAAGATCACTTAACCGGCTGTTCTGTTTCAACTTTTAATTAATGTTCCGCATTAGAACAGGGATTTCTCTCTTCAAGAAAATTTAAAGAGATATTAAATAACTGCTATACTCCGTTTTAACATACTTACAGGTTTGGGAAATTCTAAGGGATATTCACAGTTAGCACCAAGAAGTTCCTGAAGACGATTATTTTCTCTTCCCTCCAAGACAACTTCAAAATCAAACATTCTACAAAACAGGACAAAATTAGTTTTAAATGGCAAAATACTTAAAGGTTGTTTCAAATGTGGATTCTCTTGACCTACTATGGAGCAAATGAATATCATAAGCACCATTTTTGTTGCATTTGGAGCTTTTTTCTTCATAAACACTAATTAGAGACCATTACAATGAAAGGAGTGTCAAAGACATATAATACAAAAAAAAAAGCAGAAAGGCATAAAGTGATTACACAAAGCAAACATCTACTGTGCTTGAGTTTAACCAACTTAAGTATAAGATAAGAAGTATATGAAAAATTATGGTGTTTCTTTTCTTCTTTTTCTATATGTATTTATTGGAAAACTAAATAAAAAGATGATTGAAATGTTTATAAAATGAAACGAACATACAAAGGTTTAAAACCTGACTAGTTTAAAAACCACGAGGTGGCACAGAATGTTTTTAATTTGATAGTGTAACTTACTTTGAAGGATTTAAAAATTCTAGCATACTTTTAGTATATTCTCGTTCTGGACCTCCTGACTTCTACAAATATAAGCGCAAATAATCAAATTCTAATTCAAATATCAACACAACCGATATTTCAAGTCAAAAAGCATAATGAGCTTCGTTCGGTCACTACGAAAAATGGATACGAAATAGTTTTTTTTTTGTTATTTTAGTTGTGTTTTTATTATCTGTTATGCCCGAACTTACTTTCTCTGGAGCTCATGCGATTCTTTCATTTTTTTGTTTTGTAACTTGATTTGTATCTTGGTAATGAATTTATGAGATTTGAACATCGGAAAACTACCTTTGCCTCCAACTTATACATTATAAATCAACGTACTGCATAAGCTAGAATGTTTTCTCTCATGCTACATATTTTTTATATACCATATAACTAAGCTATAATCTGAAACGGAAAAAAAATAATATAATAGTACACGTACAATAAAATACGTCAAATAAGCATTTGGTCAAACATCTATGAAAATCAATGATTTCATATTAAAGGCAGATCAAATGCATATAAACAATTTGAATATTAATAAGATAATTACCTTTCCATACCACAAGAAGCATTCATCTTTTGACATAATTAAAAACGATGCTGATGAATTCAATGAACTTCTATTTGGCACAACCTGTAAGACAAACAAATGTAATACGTGTATCTTTATTCTAATGTAGCAAATGCATTGCATCGGTACAGAGAAATTCAACTGCATATACAGTTTAAAGTAAAATAACAAAAATACCGAACTCCAAGGGAAATTCAAAACGGAAAGTCCTTTATAAAATGGCAAAATCAAAAGCTCAAACACATTAAAACTAATGGAAAACAACTGTCATATTCCTGACTTGGTACAGACATTTCCTAATGTAGAAAATGGTGGATTAAAACTGGTTAACAAAACAGGCTACTATCTGATAAATACACATATGACTATATATTCCTGCAAAATATTAGACAACATTTTTGAGTACCGTTCCAAGCCAGGCTATTTCAACATTTTGTTGATCTGTTGTTTAGCAATTGAGATTGCATACAAATATAAACTAGAAAGGGGCAATTATATGTTAAGATCCATGAGTCGGTTCCACAAAAAAACTTACGACTAAGATTGATCGTAAGTATACTGAATTGTTCATGACTTACGATCAATCTTAGTCATAAGTTTTTTTGTGAAACCGACTGCAGAATAGTATCAGAAAAACGTCAATAAATTAAAACATTTTTTTTTATTATACAATTGTATAATTATAATAAGAATTTTGTAATAATTTAAATCTAAACAACCACGTATATGTAAAGCAAAAACCACTGCATATCATTTGTTCTATCAATTCTTTAACTATACCTGTAGAACTCGCATATTTCCATTTACAATCTCCCTAACACGAAACATCTGCGTAGAAAACTGACTAGAATCTTTTAAATCACAGTCGTGCTGTAAACATATAAAAGGTATTCAATACAAATTCTAAAAGTCACTATTACATTATATTAATCAATCAAAATGAAAATGCTGAAGATATTACATAAGGTTTTCAATGATTCATCAATTCCTGAACAGATGACCACATTATATTTAAGAAACTGTCTGTTACATCATCCTATTTTACAAAACTGTCTTTCCGGAACTCGTATTATGATTGACCACATGATCATTAAGAATACCCAGATGAATGTACAAAATTAGGGAGATCATGATAGGAAATGTGAACGTTGTAATATCGTATCAACTGATTGGTATGTAATCCGTATGCAGGTGCTGCTGGAATGCTGTTTCATAAAAATGGTAAGTTGACAACGGTAAAAAATGTCTTACGTCGAAAATGTAAATTTTTTATCGGCCCTCATTGTCAATTTCTAGTAAGTCAAGATATGAAGCAGATGTAACTATATCTGTAGTATCTTTCCTTTATTTCAAGCTCAATGTGATTCACTAAACTTCGATGATGATGATGATGATGATGATGATGATGATGATGATGATGACATCCAGAGGCAATAAAATGCTTATTCAGGACGAAAATATGTCAATGCAATCTGAATATTAACATTTCTTTGTACTAGACCGACACGCTGAGTCAGCTTTTTAACGTGCTAGTTTACAAGGTAAAAGTCCGCATGAATACATGTCATCCTACCCTAACCCATTAGTTTCGACTCCGAACCGAACAGTCTTTGGTCTTATTCTTTAATGCCGCGTGCTTAGTGGAGAAGCAGCAAATACACATTTTGAAGTCTATGGTTTAACCCGGCTGGTGTTTGCACCCACGACCTCCCGCACGTGAGGCGATCGTGCTACCGCGTGACCACCCAGGCGTTATACCAAACTTTGAAGAATTCAGTGAGAGAAAATAATCAATACAAAAGAACCCGTCGGCGAGGAAAATATCTTTGTTAGTCTCAGAAGAAATGCCGATTGTCTATTGAAAAATAAATCAAAAACGTATTGTCAATCAAAAGAATTAATATTCTAAACGTGCCAGTTTCAGATTTTTTTTGTTTGAATCAGAGATCTTTTTAAAGCATGATTTGTTCTTTCTTAAAATAAGATATGTCTAAAGTTTAGAATGAGCAAAACTTGTGTATTGATCACCCCCAGTTTTTGGTGGGGTTCGTGTTACCTAGTCTTTAGTTTTCTATGTTGTGTCATCTGTACTATTATTTTTCTGTTTGTCTTTTTATTTTTGGCCATGGCGTTGTCAGTTTGTTTTCGATCTATGAGTTTGACTGTCCCTTTGGTATCTTTCGTCCCTCTTTTGTGTAAATGATAGATAATTCATACTATTAAACTAGAATAGGGACTTAGAATGTATGAATAATGATTAATATTCTTTTTTAAAAGATACAGACGGTACCAAAGGGACAATCAAAATTCATAAATCTAAGAGAAACCAACAACGAAAAAAATGACAAAAAGACAAACAACAGTACAAAAAACACTACATGCAAAACTTAAGACTGAGCAATACAAACACAGTCACAACCCGGGATGTTCCGGAAGGGCATATCCTCAACCACATATGGCAACCGTCGCGTTGGTCATGGTAAGTACAAAGTCTGTGATAAGTCTCAATCAATGCTGTCACAATCGAGGAAACGAGGACAGGATTGCGGCTACCACAATTTCAATATATCCGTGGTTATCGTCGACATGGATATTCCTTAACGGTCAACAAACGCATGGTGGCGTCTGTAACTCTTATGAAGGGATAAGTTCAACTCTACCACTAGGAAGTCTTGGTTTAATAGCTTAGTAAACAGCAATCCTCTTTCAAGGAAACATGACAGGAAACGCACACAGACCTTCTACATAGAAATGGAAAGTTCACTATTGGAACATTGAAATCATCTCTTTCGTCCTTAAGTTTTGTTCTCAACCGATCCTCATTGAAAATTCCTAGATATGAGGCAGACTTAACTGTATCTGTGGAAATTTTTTTTTAGTTCGATAGAAAAGGTGCGTTCAACATAGTCACCAAGCTTTTAATTATTTTAGTAAGAAGACATCATCAGTATAGCGGAACTTGAAGCTTAAGGAATATGCTATCTTCGTTTCATTTTTCTTAAGAAACTCCTGTAGGAATTCTGCCTCGTGTAAAAATATGAACAATTTGAAAGATGAGGAACACAGTTGAATCCTATAGGAATACCAATTTTCGGCTGAAAACACGTCCTGAAAACGTTACAAATATTTTGTCAATAACGGCGTTCTTAGTTTCAGAGAATTGTTGTATTTGAGTTTAACGATTTAGGCACACAGCATTTCGATCCTTCAACTAACAAATTTCGTAAAGCGTAATTGACTATGTTAATGTCGCCAGTTAAAACGTGACCAACCGGAATTTGTAATTTGATGAGTAACGAGAATTGAACATCGGTGAACTGCCGTCGCATCTAATTAGGTATGATTTGAAAAACGAATTTTCAGAGACTTTTCTAATTTTTTGTTTTTTTAATACGTCTCTAAATAAACCAAATGTAATAAGTATACTTACAATAATGATACTGTTTTGAAGAACGTTCATAAAATGAGTTGGCTCTTTCCCATCTAAAACTCGAACCTTGAATAAGAAATTGATACATAAAATTTATGAAATAAAGTAGTGTATTTATATTCTATACTACAAGACAGTATATATACGATTGAGATCGAGATAATATGGAGAAGATTGAAACTCATAGGACGTCTTGAACTTTGACAATGACGGTATTCTTTTTTTTGCATATCTTAGGTTTTGTCAGCGATTGCAGTTGATTGAGAAATCAAGTCCACAATAGTCCAGTTCAATACATTTAGAACTTAAAGATGTGATTTGGAGCTTGAAACATGGCATGAAAACTTCTAAATGTTTTTCTTGTTTTATTGAGTTTGTGTCTTATTGACAGTAACCCCAAATCTCCGTTATCTAAAATTGGAATGCCAATCATTTATTCAATTTTCAGTTTAAACTCCTTAACCTTTTTTTCTTTTAACTTCAAATATATTCTACTTGTTATTGATAATATACAAAACGTCTTATCTTATAAAAATACATCTTTAAGAGTTTTTAATATTCTCTTTCTGTATAGCTAGCAGTATTTCATGAGGTAAATGATATTTTTATGTGTGAATGCATATGTTTAAAATTGTACCATATTTCTCTTGAAGAAATATTGTTCTCAGGTTAATGAAAATCTGAGACAATTTGAACTCAAAAGTATGAAATAATTATAAATCACGTACTATAATACATTGATGTTGTAAATCTGTATCCTTTGATAATACATGTTTCATAGTTTTTTCTTGCAATTCAATTGAAGAATTTGAACCCTACAGAAAAAATGAAATATAAAGCAAAATGTCTATATTTGTAAAAATATTGATAAACGTACAGAAATAAAGATAACAGTGAAGCATAATTCGATTTAATAAAAAAAGAAAAAAATAGAAAGCTTCTACAACTGATTTTAATTGTGTAATCTTTGCATACATGTAGTTGTCTATTGAATTGTCCTTATCTTTGCTATGTACTTAATGGAAAAAATACTGCATGATAAAATCAGGCCATGAAATCTTTTCACAAAACTGTGAAGATGTTAAATTCGTTATATCTATGAAATAATGTGATATGATTCACTTAATAGGAGAAATATCTCGAAAATCTCTTTTTCACAAGTAACAAACGACATTGAGAAAAGTATTCACTTACCAACCAATAGTACATAACATATAAGGACTTTGAATTTCCTTTGACCTGGTTTAATACAATATAGCAACTTCCATTGTTAAATATGCCATGTTCATTCCAAGGTATCTCATACAAATGGTTAGGACCTACTCGCCAAATCTGTTAACATAGTAGTAATATACGTGATATAATAAAACATAGCTAAAACATGAAGTATAAAAAGTGTACAATGTGAGTAATTTATATTAAGAGTAAAATAATGATAAATGAAAATTTGAAACCCATGGGAAAACTCAGTACATTAATTGCACCAAAACATAAAGCAACAGAAAACATTCGCAAGCAAATAGGCATATAAAACATTTGACAAAACTTTAAAAAAAAAACAAAAAAAAAAGCGACGCTATACGTACATCCGCTCACGAGTAAGAAATAAAATGCAAAAAGTTTGAATATAAATTGACGATTTTCTTTAGAAAAAGGGGAGTTAAAAAGTGAAACACAGTATAAAAATAAGGAGATGTGGTATGATTACCAATGAGACAACTATCCACCAAATTTCAAATAAAGTAGATGTAAGCAATTCTAGTGACTGATTTGTATATTATGCGTTCAAAAAACAACGTAGAGCCCTGCTAACGTCATAAATTCTCTGATACTTTCATTTAGATTTTGCCATATAAAACTTTACTTCTTTACATTGATGCGAAAAAGTGTGTTATAATTTTCATTTATCCTAAATACATTTGTACCTACCTCGTTATTGGGTACTATGTCCGTCATCAAGTCTTCTGACCACAATTCATCTAGTTTGGCTACAGTTCGGTTGTCTTTTGTCGAAAACAATGCTCTTTCTGTAAAATTTATCATCTATATATGTATATGTATTCCATTTTTATGTTGGTTCTATGCGTGTCTAGTGTAGACAAATCAAGAAAAGTGATTGGAACGCACTCAACTTAAAAAGTACTATTTTTTTTGGCAACAGAGATTGAAACTAAGACGCACTAAAATGTATTAAATGAAAAAGGATTCAAATAAATGCAGATATCAATTGCAAATAAGAATATTCAATATATTATGATATTACGTCTATGTTGTAATTTATTATTGTTTATTTAACGTAAAGAGGCAATTTTTTCATACATATATATGACGAAAACAAGTTAACGATTGCTAGCAATGCAAAACGTAGGTTCTGAAAGATGGGACGTTACAACAGGTCACCTACTAAACCCTTGCCGAGTTGTTGCAATGGTTTTTTATCTGCAGAGAATGTGTCACTCACACAACACGATGCATCGAATTTAACGTCCGCATTCCGAACGGAATTGGCTGCAAAATTGTACATCCCGAGCAGCCATATTGATGCCTTTTACGTTAGCAAAGTTAACAACCATGTGCGAATAAACTTATCATAGATACCAGGCTTAACATTTTGTACACCGGACTCTGGTTTCGTCTACAAAAAGACTCAACAGTGACGCTCGGATCAAAATGTAAGCATTGAGGACCTAAAATTCCAAAACATGCCAAATACAGAAGGTAATCTATTCCTGGGGTAGAAAATCCTTAGTATTTTGAAAAAATTTGAAGTTATGTAAATAGTAAATTCATAAGTATGGCCATATCAATGATAATTCTCGAAAGGGTAGGAATCCACAAACAGAGTATTTGTCATCCTCATTCAAGACAGATCCCTCTTATTGGACAGTACGATACTTGCTCAAAATTATGTAAAAGAAATCGTTACTAACATTTCTAGTAAAATTAATTTCAATAGAGAAGAAAGCCAACTACAGTAAGAATTTTACACAAAGAAAAACTCTTGGAAACGCCACCACCTTTTACAGGAAATAACGAATCATCATGAATGATGAAACTTCGCAAGCCCCTTGGAGATTGAAAATGTTATAAATGATATTAAAAGACATTAATGGAAGACCGTTCTTTTAACTTTTTAACGTATATGAAATGGAAAATGTTGATATCAAACTTATATTACCCGTGCCTTTATGTATCGTTCTTACTAATCTAAATATAAGTAGTTTCGTCCGTATTCAGCTTTATTGTTTATTGAACTGAGAAAGTACAAAACACAACACTTACCAATATTTCCAATACTATATTTCTTTGTTAGTTGTCTATGTTTTGTATCTTTGTCCCGCCAGTCATTAAATATTTTTCTAAATGTTATAGGCTCATGATCTTCCATTATTCTGCATATAGCTTGATGTGATGGGTACGATTTGTGCTCATTAAATGACTGAAATATGATATACGTTTTCATATGGAGAAACTTTCTAAATATTCAGATATACATGATCGTTTTGCAATGTCTTTTACTTTTGATTTCGATAAATTTTAGGAGTAAATTGGAACGATTATCTTCCATCAAAAACTTGCTCAATTTCTTTATATCTAGAAGATTCTTAATCACAGCTAAACTCCTTCATTTAAACAAAGACATAAGATATGTATCAGTTAAAAAACAAAATATCATAGAACCAGTCTTATAAGAAAGATCCAGAAAGCATTTAAACGTAACAAGTTGTACAACTTCTAAAGCGCAATCAAACTAATCAAGTTACAGAAGATGACATCCAATAATACATCAACATGAAAGAAATTAAAAGTATAAGAAGTCTTATTGCATTTTTTATATTTACTTGAATAGATAAAAACTAACAACTTCTCTAGTGACAAGAAAAGAAACATGTATCACACATTTGATAAGTTCCGTTAGTCATTAATTGTCCAAAAACTGCATTGTTATTTAATATGAACATCAATTAGCAATGTGTTTTCAAACAATTTATTGAATACAAAATATTCATGTTTTCTTTTATATATTAATTTATCATGTTTTGCTTCATGTCGTCCATTGTTATTCACTGTATAATAAATAGTATTTATGTTTACCTTTCCTCTTTTTATACCATTCATCACAGCATTTTCATTGGCTTGTGATCCAACCCATACATACAAGGGACTTTCTGGTCCCGTATCCAGGAGATAGCTGTCCTATTTTACAAAACAACATGTCAACTTATAATTTATACATTCAGCTTGATTGTTTTACAATATATTTTTTACTGTCAAATTATGCTTGTTACATTAAGTACAGATTTATACTAAAATTTGAAAGTTTGTTTTTTTCAGTTATGATTTGAATACACGAGTAAATTAAAAGTCTATTCATTTGGAATACTACCGATGTATTATAATCTCAAAACGTTTGGCTTTAAAACATACCAAGGACATCTAATTACAAATAGCTAGCTCTCCGAAATGAATTGTTTATACTCTTACTTAACGTATCAGAATTGTTTTAAAATCGTCACATACTTTTTCAGCTTTTTCAATAAATCTAATTTATTTTATAATATAATGTATGTCTATGCGTACAACTTCTATTTGAATTAAACAGTCAATTTGAACTAAGTGTATATTACATAATTAGTTAATCTGTATATTTAGCCGACCAATTAAATAACAGATATTTTATAACGTAAAAATTTTTCTGCGACAAGAAAGATCGCAAAATTTTCTCTGGACAATTTTTTATCCCACCACCTACCCCCCATAACTTACCATCTTGTATATATTATGTGGGTTTTGTAATTTTATTATTAATATAATATTTTGCCAATATGTTGTTAGTGGTCTTTTGATACGCCACCTTTTGTTAGTGGCTTTTTTGTACGCCACCTTTTTCGTAGGCTAGCCTTTTTTGTACGCCACCTTTTCTGTAGGCTAGCCTTTTTTGTACGCCACCTTTTTTGTAGGCTAGCCTTTTTTGTACGCCACCTTTTTTGTAAGCTAGCTTTTTAACAGGGGAATTAAATCAGAAGCATTCAAATGTTATGCTTTGTAAGATTAACTACCGTGTTGTTGTAAATAATTTTGATTGTCGTTTTAAAAAAATGACATTTTGATTGGAATCTTTCTTCTTGTTAATTATTTGCCTCCAAAACACCGAGCAAGGTGTGACCGGACATAAGTGTTAATGCACTCAGATATCAGTCATATAGGGTGGTTTTCTGTATTTGGTATCCTCAGCTTTGATATACATTTATAATACTGGTCACGTTAGACATAAATATGATTGGCATTTTATATGGGTTCAGAACATGAAGTTTCGACATTTTATATGGGTTAAAACATGAAGATTCGACAATTAAAAGGTGAAATCGGTCTGATTTTATTCCTATTACAGTTAAAACTAATATTTTATTTACATTATGCCATGCTTATCATGTAAACAGTATAGCTGTTAGCATGGCAAACAATGTATCTTTATTTACAATGACATTACATGCGTATTCAATAGACATGAGAACATGATTGACTGGTAATAGGTTGAATATATTGATATGGTGTGTCTGTTAATTTCAAGTTAATAATTACATGGTTTTACAAAAATTAAAGTTGAAATTCTCTCGAAGAAAGTACCCCTCGTTGGTTTTGACTATTCTGTTTAGACCATTTTGGTTTTTGTTCCCTTAAGTATTCTATCCAATCTTTTGTATCGAGCAAAACTACTAAAGATAAAGGTTATCAAGAAACACGTTTTTTCCTTACGGAAATCAAATCAGATAAGGGTTTTCTACCAAAATTAAGCACATACTCTTTTCACGAGATAGCGTTGATTCAGAGGTCTTTTAGACGCTTCTGGCATATCATACATGACTCTATCTCCGGCAACTCTAAAGAACAAAATATATATATATATATACATTAATGAAGTATCTTAATTTTTACGATTTTGAATATGTCAGTTATCGCTCTTAGGCTAGACTAAGTATTGCCCTTCTCTTACTAAACGACTCATACAAATGATAATCATCTTCAAAACCTCCAATAAAGAAAAAAAATACTATTAAATAAAAAATAAAAACCCTCAAATGAAATTAGAATAAGTAACATATCAAAAAAGAAATCAACAACTTAACCACCAAATAATAGATTACAGAAACGGATGATCAAGTGAACAATATACAGCTACATGAAACCATAATGTGGAATACTGACGGGAATGATCAGTTTGTAAACAATGTAATAAAAACAACATAACAAAGTAAAGAATTACAACATTAAGTCTTTCTTTACAGGTAAATGTGTAAGTAATGCAATCTTAATATTTGCATACCATTTCAAGGAAACCACGGTCATCTTTTCATTTGGAAAGCTTAAATAAATACGATCAAAGGTTTCCGCAAAGAGTACCACTATGTAAGGGAATATAGATATTAGTCTGAAGGTTAATGTAATTAGTATATTCTTTATGCGTAAACATAGGTTTCATTTATAATATATATGAGTAAAGGAAAACCTTAAAATGTAAATAAATAAACAACCATGATTTATACGCATGGACACAACAATAAAAAATTACGAAAATTAACTGCATCCAAAGTAATTTGTCCACAACCCTCCTTTACTTACAATATGACTAAATTTGTTTTAAATCCAATTAAGCGTTTTCCATTCCACGTTCTACATTGTTACAACTGAAAGTTATGCACTATAGTATACAATGGATCATTTTTATTTAACTGCAGTTACCATTTTAGAAACGCAAGCTATTGTTAATGTGAAAATTAAACATTATATTATATATGTACCTATGAAGCACTATATTTTCGGCATCGATCTTTGCATTGAAGTTGTTAATTGTTTCCTCTTTTGGTGGTAGATTTTCACCATTGTGTAGTTTCTTAATAAATGCTGTATTCATAGAAACATCTTTTTCATCTTTAAAATATAAAGGGTACATAGATACAGAATTGAGATATGATTCAAATATTAATCGTATCTATTTGAACGCACTGTGTAGTTCGACATTTATAAGGTGATTAGTTTCAACTGCTAGAAGACAATGCTTAGGTATTTCAGACCATTTTTGGTAAAAGAATAATAATTATGAAGATACATGATACAACAATAAAACAGTGTTAAAGTGTTCATTTAGTACACTAAAATGTTTTTAACTATTTTGAATTAAACTGCTAGTAATTTGTACCATGCTGTAAATAAATAAGATTTTGTTGAAAAAAGGACATTTTGTACCATAAAAATAACAATATGATTGGTTTATTGGTTATTTCATTTTGATGAAATAGTTGAGATATCTATGGGTTACTATAAAGGCGTGATAAACATTTTCGAAAGGTGGGTGGCAAGATCACAACCATCGATAACAATAAATATATTGGTTCCATTAACTTACCGATAATCACTATATGTGAAACTTCTTTTCTCTGTTGGTTTCGAATCTTCTTTGCAACTTGAATAGCCTTTTGTAATACAAGAATATTTTTTTGTTTACGATAGGAAACTATGATTATGAAAGGGTACTGAACTGTTTTACATAGATCTTTATGTATATCAATATATGTTGTCAAATTCTGTTAATAGTAAAACTGTAATCTAAATTATCCTTATTTTGTACTCATTCACAAATAGGTTATCATTATGCTCCAACATTATCAATAAGTATTGAACTTGAAAATTATACTTATTACCACCATTTATCCAGTTTTCAATTCTATTTTATTGTTTATTAAATGTAAAGAGGTATTGCGGGGTTATATTATTAGTTTTAGAATTACTTTTCGGAGGTGTAGAATATCCACCATATTAACAGAAAAAGTTTCTACATAATGCATATTCCTGTTAATAATACCTTCAATCGTGTCGTGTATGGACAGTTCTGACCAATCCATACATATATCCTAGGGAAACCATCAAGTATGCAGGCTAAATTATTGTCTAGAAGATCAGCAGAAGGTTCAACCTAGATTATAAAAGTCATTAGGCAATCTTGTAAATGGATAATATATATAATAAATGTCACTGTACTCAACTCAAGTAGTTTTAGTGTGTGTAAAAACACTCGAAAAAGAAATTATGCACACTTCAATGACCACTGAAAAAATAACCTAAACAGAACATTGAATATTACTAGTTTCTAATTTCTTACTTAAAAATAGCACAGCAAAAGAAAACATTGGAATCGGAGAGAACGTCTTGATCTTCATTTGTTAATAGGTTTTGTGTCAAAACCAGATTATCATATAACTTACACAAGTCGCTCGAACGAATTTGCGTCCGTCTATTTGGTACATTCTTTTTGCGTAGACTGTAGCACGGGACAGGGCAGTTTTTGGTCGTCCTTCAATGTATCTGGAATGAATAATATATAACTTTCTTCAAATATTGTTATTTAAATCTCCCTGTTACTTCTATTATTGCAATATTTACATGATCTTTCTACATGAAGTGTGTATTCAATGTTGATAACATCATATATAAAAAAAAATTATTAGAACAAGGAAAATGACGACTCTTGTCATGCATGTAAATCAAAATGTCCACGAAACAAGCATTCCTTAAACTTATGTGAAGGTCATATAGGAAATGAAAAACACAAATATTTGTAGGAGATCGATCGGACAGTAAAAAGACAAAAAAACATTTTTTATAAACATCATTTACTGCTGCAAATCGATAGTAAGTTAAAAGTATAGCATAGACCAAATGTTCATCATTATATTTTATCATAGAAGAAGTTATGTCTAAGGTAAAACATTACCAAATATGTATACATACATGATACCGTCATTGAAGTTTCTTAGAAAACAGATGGATTCATGATGCTGCGTCTACAAAATAAATATATACATTTTATGTCAAAAGTAAGGATTGATATTGTCAGTCTTTCTTTGAATTTTTAAATGTCAATCTAAAGTTAAAGGCAAATGAAATATGAAAATGATAAGAATAAAATTAACAATTTGAATAAATTCAAAAGACTTGATAAATGTTTTTATGCCGTTTAGGACAAATGAGTAATGCATTAATTACTTAACTTTTTGTGTTTCTTTATTTTAATGTTACTGTAAGAAACGTTTCTTCTGCTAAAGCGAAAGTAACGACGCCATTAGATTTAACACAAATGTATTACTGTACAGCTGCATTATAAATAGCTTCTTACAAACATATTCTTTTGACATAATATGCGTTGTCTATTTTTTTTTTAATTATATCCGTACATGAAGGATTATTCTCATTATAGAACCATCGGTGATATTTAACTTGAAGCAGGATGTAGTCTTATTCCTCTAGCATTTCAAAACCTTGTAAGTCTTTTGTTATTTTGTTTAGATTATTTCTTATGCTTCAAAGTGAATTAAAGCATTTGTCCGATCATTAAAAATATTTTCTTTATCCAGCTTTCTTGAAGAGTGTTGATATAGAAATCTACTGCTTTTCCTTAAACCTATGTTTATGGTAAGTTTTATCTTACCTCCCTTGTGAATACATGTGCGTGGTGAACAATTCGATCTAATTCATGAGCTTTTTCCTCAATAAGCTTTCTGTCGTTCTGAAACATGTGTATAATGTAGTACGATAATATATACATTTTTTTTTCAGAATCTAAGAAATATGACATCTTTACAAGATATTGAAATTAAAACTAAGATAAATAAAGGTGAAACTGCAATCATATAGTTAACGTTACATATTCTGATGCAACACTTCAAATGAGGCGGAAGATACCAAAGGAACAATCAGTTTAAAGGTCTAAAATCAAATCATACATAAGTGAAATAGAATCTCTGAAGCGTTTTACTCGACCATCATGGGTTTTTACTGTATAAATGGTTTCGCCATATAATTGGTTTGGACATTAACTTTTTATATTACTAATTGTTGTATGATGGGTGATATATGCGAAACAGGAGATGATAAATATATCGACGCATGTGGTCTATTTCATTTCTAGTTCAGGTGATTTCCCTGTCACTTTTCATATCTGAATTAAAATTAATAATAACAGATGTACTACAGTTTATATCTAAATAGTTCTTGTATGGTTTGCATTCCTTCAAAATCGTGAATGTGATTTCCTTGGTTTACACTTTTATAGACCATGTTGCCGAAATCACTTCTTTAAACTACGAAACCACTGTCTATGTCGATTTCATTCTATTATAGTCATGCGCAATACACATTAATTGAAACCAAGATGGTCGAAAATAAAAGAAAAAACTATCACATGTATTTTGGTTGAGATTGAGAAGGATTTAGCATTTTTTTCTAGATGTTGTTGGTGTGAAAACTATTCCGCTGACTCACAAACTTAACAAGTCCTAAACTTGTATTTGTTTACACACCCATACTTAAACCTTTAAATCTATGTGTAATTATTCAGTAAAACCATCAAACCTCTGTCATATCCTTTGAATTTTGCATAGACATTAGATTTCGCATTAACATTAGTGTTTTGTTTTCATGAACTTATCAATAAGGATCCAATTTAAAACATTGTATCTATCCATTACGAAATTTAGCTGTGAAAGTTTGATGGAGGTTAATCCAATAAATATTCGCAAAGCAAGTCAAGTAAATTTCATTTTGATTCATTATGAACATCTTGATAAAAATAATGAGGTGTGGTATGATAGCAGTGAGACAACAATCCACCAAACACCGCCTTGGATGAGCATAGGTTATCGTACAGTGTATGACATTCAACCTTGAGTAAAACTCTTAAAATATAGTCAACTATGAAAGGTCCTTAAATGCCAATATTTGAGATAAGATAACAGTCGATTTATGACAGAACAATTAACGAAAACGAATATGACAGACAGCAACCAACGACAACCACTGAATTACAGGATCCTGACTTTGGACATGCACGAAAAGAATGTGGCGGTGTTCAACATTTTTGTGAGAGTACAACACTACCATAACCCCGGGGACAGTGTTGAAATAGCGCAACATAAGAACGAAGTGTAAAATTCAGTTGGAAATCGTTGTGTGTTTTGAGCTACTTTTGTTGCTTAGATGGTTTTGTTCATTCAGGATTCACTTCTGTACGGCTTTATCTTTATATTGATATATCTGTAATATCAATTTATATCTACATTAAATAATTTGTTTATATAAAGCTGTAAACTGTATAAACATATACATCACAGACATACAATAATTTTATTCTTACCTCAGAGCTCAGTTTGCCAAACCAGTAGTGTAAATGAACATTTTCATTACTGTCCACCTGCAAATAAAATACATCAGTTGCTTTGAACATCCATTGATAGGTACAGTTATTTTTTTTCAATTATAATAGTATAAATATAAAGGTGATCAACAGCTTTTGTGGACTAGAAACATTTGGTAAAGTATATGTTTCAGAAATGTGATGAATGATTCAAATTTGTTTGCTGATTTTATAAATCAAATGATATCTTTCTTCATATTTTCGCCTTTTACGACCATGCACTCACAATTCATATATCGTTTGACTTTGTTTTATATTTGTCATTTCGGGGCCTTTTAGAGCTACTTATGCGGTATGAGTTTTGCTCATTGTTGGAGGCCGTACGGCGACCTATAGTTAACTTCTATGTCATGTGGTCTCTGATGGAAAGTTGTCTCATTAGCAATTATACTACAACTTCTTATTTTTATATATATTTTGTCTTCTCTTCGAAAATTTCAATATCTAATGAATGAAGGAAGAAGGGGTTAATTAATATCATTTTGTTTTTACATCAAGGCCCCTTTTAAAATGTCTTTCGATCTTTACTTAAATTCGGTTTCAAAGCTCCGAATGTGTAATTTAAGGATGTAACAATATTATTGCCTACTTCTTAACAAAAAGTCAGTTAAAGGTAAAGCTATATACTGTCTTTCGGAAACAAATAATATATTTGGTAAGTGACATCATCCAATGCAAAATTTAAAAAATCATGTTAAATTTTGTATTTTTTTATCACGATGTTTTTAACAGTACATGTAGCACTGAATAACATTTTGGCGTTATGGAAATATGTTAAATTGCTGAAAAATATTAACAGCTTATGATATAAACTCTTTAAGATTTCAATTTCCAGTACCTCTTAACAACGTCTAAACTTTAACCGTATGACAGAAACAGTTACAAGGTAAATTAAACCAAACTCTTTTAAAATCTTTTTTGAGTTGTAATGGATAAAATGAAAATTCAGAATGTAAAACAGTGTCTTTGATATCAACGAATACTTGTCAGAACTGATAGATAAGTGCAACAGGTATTCCGCCATTCTTACCTTCAATACAATATAAACGGATCCTTCATGAAAAAAACCATGGTGTTGTTCTTCTAGTTCAACAACTCGTGACCGTCCCTGGAAAAAAATATTTTGTTAAATGAATTTCTATACAGAAATACATGTAAAAACTCTCCGTTTTTGTTCAAACAACTAATTTTTCTTACACTGAATTTACAATAAAATAAAAATATGATTATATGTGATATTATTTTTGAATACTTGTATACCGGTAGTACCTTTTCAAAAACAAAAACGCTTGCACATCCCGATATTTGGTCAAACATTTTACGCTTTTCACTATGTATATCATAAAAGATGCAGGCAGGTGTTTCAATTATATAATTGTTATACAATCCCATCATTACTATTATATAACAATGCGGGAAAATGCAATGATATCTTTTAAATGACAGTCTCAATTTTATTAGTCGATTATGAAAATCGATTATGGAAAACGCCATAAAACATTCAGAATAATACTTAAAAGTCGGTATTTTTTCGTATAAATGGAAGAAGGAACTGTTCTTAATTTCAAAAGACTACAATAAAACGTCACGGTAGCACCTAGAGGGACATGAATTGTAAAAAATACGTAAAACCTTTTGAAATGTATTTTCCTACAAGGTTTGTAAAGATTTGATTATTTTATAGTATCTACTCAAGATTAAGTTTCAATGTTATAATATATGTTTTTACAATGTATTCATGGGTTATTTTATATTGCAGTTGTAATTTATGTGCCTTTTTTATATTATGCATTACGATTTATAACAGAACCATTTTTTTTTTAAATATTCCTATCAAGACTGAAAATTTGATATTTTAATGTTCTATTAAACAAAGACAAGTCACATAACTGCACTTGCTCCTATTTTCATGCGAGGGTTTACTTCACCGGTGTGTAGGTAGTTAATTATAAAGAGTTGTATTTTGTTTTTGTTTTTTGTTTGATATAAACTAAGTACAAATAGTTCAATTCATGGTAGATTTAAATGTTTATATGTTTGTAACACTTTCTCTAGTGTATTTACTTTGGTTATTTTCTACTCCTTCTTTATAGTACTCAAGAATTATGATGAATCCGACCTCCAGAGAACCAGTGAAAAGAGTTACACCTATCGGTATTTCAGACCACATAAGTGTAATCTGTAACATAACATTATTTCTGAATATAACTTCTGTAAAAACATTTAATACAGAATGAGAACCAAATGTGGTACATAAATCATGAAAATTGCTAACGTACGACGTTATGAATTTTCTTCACTTGAACAATACCTCTGAATTAGTCCTTGTTTGACTTATTTCTACATGTTTGTATTACCTCAAGCCTCCACACGTATTGTCCAGCTATTTCTTTTGTTACTTCTAAGAATGCAGGTTCCATAGCAGGCACTGTCTCTGTAATGTGTTTATCCATCTTGAAACTAGTTCTAACACCATTCTGACTTATTTTACCATCCTTGTAGTTACTGGACTGGACACTGGTCAATGTTCTAGATGTTGAAGGTCGTTTCCCTCTGGCAAATGCTGTATAGGTACGCTCACTCACAAACGTCGGACTTCTTGCTATTATTCGCTTGTCGTCTATTTCATGATGTCTCAGAGAAGATGACAGTCTACCACTTTTCGGTCGACTACTTGGTCGATCAGGAACTGGTGTTGGCGTTTTAATGGTAGGTGGCTGATTAGCTGAAAGTAGGTAAACGACAACACTTAATATTAATTTAAAAAAATTAAAATAGATATGATTATGTTCTATTTTACAAAGTTTATGATAACTAATAACAGGTTGGGTCGTTAATTATATACTATTCATAACATAAAATAATTTAGTTCTATGTTCAGAAAGTAAGATGAACCAGAATGTTTCGAATAGCAATGCGATTTGTTTTAAAAAGGGGGGAAAAAACACTAAAATAAGGCCAAATGTTGTTAACAAAACAATTGTTTAAGACTGTTTGGTCATGATACGATCAATATAATACAGTAATTAACCGTATTAAAACATTTAATAACCACTCGTATCAGTACTATATCAATATGTTATTTGTGACTTAAAATATCGTGTATCTCGTTTATATGTTAATATAAATTAATTGATAATATTTTATGACCTTGTTCATCAGTGTTCAACGACCCAAATGTGACAAGTATTACAAACAGAACATTAATATCTCAAACGGCGGAAATGTTCGATTGAGATATTGCAGACCATAAATATTCTTCCAATGGCTAAATCAATAATAATAATGGTATTGTTATATCATATTCTATTTACGTAGATAGTCGACTTCCTTCAAGGGACAATCGCCTTCAGAGTACTTTTAAGTATTATAAGTTCCCGGTAGTAGTACCTTACATAACTTATACTAGTATTACTAAACTATTTTACAAAGTGAAATACTACTAATATATACGTATATGTACAGGTAATTATGGGGATGGAAAAGACGAATTCGCATTCACCCTACAAGGAGACAAAACTTTTCTAAAGAGTAAGTGTCAGTTCAACCCAAAAAGAGGCGATGTAATAAGAGCCATCGTTTAGTTGAACATTGGAGTTGTATATTTCTTCATTCTATTCACACGGTTATGTTCCACTTGTAGTTACAATCCCGATATTATTTTTGAGGCTCGTATATAAGTATTAAAGACAACATCTGAAAAATAAGGCTATTTTAGCAGTTTGTATATGTTTTTGAAATATAAAAGAGGTTTAACACCTGATAGAGCAAATATATCTGTCATTTTGGTCTTCATGGACACTGACAATTATATAACGTCTCCTTTCTGCATATGTAGGACACAAATACTACAACCCGACACACCAATGTCTTATGAGCATCATTCTGAAGAATATTCTATAAAGACATACATATGACTTAGTTCTGGCACTTTTTACACGAAGTGTTGGATAAAAACGAGATGTTGGACGCGTAACGGGAAAATATGGCATAATGGTTTCTTATTCACCAAAAATTTAATTCCAAACACGTATGTAAACGGATTATCTGCCGGATTTTTATAAAATTTGGAAAGCAACCAGAGCGAGAAAAAAGATACAAACTAACTTTAACATCCTTTAGATAGAAGTACAAATGTATAAAATCTTGGTAAATATTGGAAACAATTTTGAAAATTTTGACTTTAAATCAACTTGTCTAAAAAACCTGTCCTACGAAGAAAATCAAGTTTTATTGATACAAAATGGAAAGTGCGTCATAGAATTTGTTTTGATATATCTAAATCATTAATTATATTTGTTTTATCTTAAAAATCTAAAATAAGAATTCAATTGCTTAATCTCGGTAAGTAAAATTTCATTATTAATATAGACTTTTTCATCATCTAGTTGTATTTTCAATTTGATAAAAATCATAGAGATCGCCCATAGCGCCGGTTTACAAACAGATGCAAGGTAAAATCTAAGGGACAATAAAAAAAAAAGAAACATGGTATAGCCGTAAACATAAGATAAATTTAAAGTGTTTTATCTACTGGTTTAAATAATTTATGTAATGTTTACACATTCGCAATTCAGGCACTTTGTAAGGACTCTCAAAGAGTAGCTATTCCAAAAGACAAATTGTGAGGCCAGATAATCCCCTTTTCGGCTTTGAAATTAGTCCGAACTCTTTTGGATTTTGTTGCTTCTCAATTTTACTAACAAATATTGCAGGAGTATTATTTCCAAATTAAAATAAATTTAAGCCTTTTTTATACCTAGAATGTAGACTATCAGTTATTTATATAAATTCTTACCGTTCAGAGATTCGATATAACAAGAATGACCAAGTTTTATATATTATACTAGCAAAATTTTGAAAGTGTATCCATTTTACAGACCAATATTTGTATATTACTATGTAACTTTAGGATCTTACCCATGTATATGTAAATTTATCCGTAAACATAAAAATTAAAATCTCAGCAGATTCAATATATAGCTAATTAAAAACAGTGTACCAACGACCTATCACTAGACTGGAAATAGTTCCTCAATCTGATTACCTGAGTACAAGTTTCATTAGAGATTTGTATCAAATCAAAAAGAAAATCAATTTTTTGTTATGTATGCTGATTTATAAATCAATATTTCTTATTCTGTAGATACTATTGAACATGACATGAGTAATCTAGATAGAGTGTATAAAAGTAGCAAAATATATTGCTATTAAGTGATTACGTCAAAGATGTCCATTATTTGCCTTTCATTTTGGTTATGACGTATTTCCGGTTATCTGCTGCTTATATTATGAAACTATGAATGGAAATTTAAAGACCAATTCAAAAAAGGATAAAAACTAAAAAAAAAAAATTGATAAAGTTCAAGCAAAAGATCTAGAGTCTAGTATACAACAACTTTCATCTTCATTTTTGATATAATAAACTGAAGCAATTTTCACCAAAATAATCTTACAGAAAAAATCAATACCAAGTCGTTCACAATTATCTATACCTCGGGAATCTGTGAACGAATAAATTAACTTGTAATTTTCCAGTAGATGCCGAAGTCGATAGAATTTCAATCCTCAGCGGAGTCAAACCAGATACTAAAACTAGTATTAACAAGCAGTAATCAGACCTTAAAATCCAGTCAAATCGGAGTCTCTGGTAAGATATCATATAAGACATTTTACGGACTGTAACCTTTTGATTGATTGATTGATTGATTGATTGATTGATTGATTATTGTTTGCTTAACAAATTTATCATATTGTTAGTGACAAGAACATTTTCAAATTAACAATAAATACAACAGGTAAGTCCTGCAATAGGGGGTCGACAGCGATGGTAAAGCATTTTTAATGCCCTGAAAAGTGAGGGTTAACTATATTTGGATAAAGACAGAAATTTAGCCTTGTAACAGGTCATCTACAAACCGCTTAAAACAAAAAAAGTTGTCGCCATTGTTCTTAATGTACAAGAGAGTGGCACTTTCTCTACACGGTGCATCGGATTTAATATCCCCATTATCACCGAACATGGATGCGAATTTATACATCCCAGTCAGCTAAACAGGCGCCCAACATTGTCAAGAGTTTTACCGCCGGTCAGAAGATGACCAGGGGATGACCATATTTCTATACCATAGCCAACCCTTGGGATGCTTTATATTACACCTTCTATACTTATAATCTATAATTATTTCTACTTTTTATCGTGGTCACGTGGTATGAATGTGAATGTAATGTCTGCCGCTAGACGCTAAAGATAACAAGGAAATAATCAAACATCATCAATAAAAAAGACAAATAATACAATGATCAACAGGGAAAAAGACCTGTTTACAACATTCTACACAGAAAACTAAAGACTGGGCATCAGGAACCCCACCAAAAACAGGGGTATGAGCCTAGGTGCTCAGGTTGTACGTTAAACATCCATTTGTTATATTTCAAACAAGAATATGTGTAGGTCTCAAACCTCAAACTTCTACACAATTGATATTAACAATTAAGCATGCATCATCCTGATAATTCGAATTATTTACAACAATACTTTATTGAAAACTGCTTAATATCTACTGAAATATCAACAAATATTTTGTATTTGTTAGATAAGGAATATTTCACGATTTTCTTTTACAATTGGACAAGACTTTCTCTATCAAAACTCTATAAGTTGTAGATTTTATCAAGTGGTTTCTTAACTGTTTCTTAAAAAAATCTTTTTTACTATATCTATACAAATGACGAAAAAGGGAAGCATACCTGTAACGTTCTGAATACAGCTATCTTCTAATTCTATTTCTGAAAACCTCAGTTGTTTCATACTGACGGGTTAGTCAAAGAGAACTTTTATGACTTGATCATGCTTTAATAGTGAGTATAAAAATATTTTATGAGCTATGATCCTGTTTTTCTCTGAGAAAGGTTTGGTTACGCAAATAGTCTTTGTTCCAAATAATTTTAAACATTTCATACTTATTTTAAAGTGTATTGTATACTGTTAGTTTACATTTGATGTGTAAATAAGCTAATATCTTTACTCCAAGACAATGTTTGGATACACTGTTAGCATTATAGACTCCTCTCAATATTTATCTAATACTCTTACACTGGCTGATTTTTGTTAACTATTATAAGTACACAAATTTAATAGATTGTTTACTCAACAAATCACTGAAGACCATCAAGTATTTATATTAATTTAAGAAATGGGATTTTACAAAATGACTAATGAAACATATATATAATGTTTTAAGGAATGGCCTAGATCAATGATAAATATCAAAACATCTATTACAGTTGGGTTGGAATACGTTAAAAAAATCGGAGTGTCCATTGTTCCGGCTAGCCGGAAGATAGTTGAAACTCTCTATCTTTTCCGGCCATGCGCAATAATCAATATCAACAGAAGTGTCGTGTCGCGCGGAAAGTGCCCCGAATGAGGTGTCGGATTGCAAACGCGCGTATGCAGTGGAAGTTTTGAGGATTGGAGATCGTTATTTATATTTAAAGATGTCTTAAAGAAAATTAGAGAGAATGTGATTGCTTTAAAAACAATTTTCTATAGGACAATATATTTGCTGATTAACTCCTTTATCAAATGGAATTGAGGCAAAACGCATAACAATTATTCACAGGAAAACGACTAAATCAAATATACTTCGATGCATTGTTTCTAAGTTCTACTACAAAGGAGATCTATGAACACGCACTGATACGCCTGGACTACGAATGCAT